GCCAGATACCTCAGTCTCTAGCAGCCTTGGAGCTACCTTCGATGAGTTGACAGGACAGCCTACTCCGCCATATCTACATGTCCCTGATCCTTCCATAGTTGCTCCTATTACCGGGACTATAGAGACACTCCCTTCTTTAGTTGTATCATCAGAGCCACCTGCTACAGTCATACCTGCTGAGTCATAGGCCGCACCAGTCCCTGATCCAACCTAGACCGCTTCAGCGTCGCTTCCAGCCATAGAGGGTCAGACTGCTCAGAGCTCAGGATCAGATGATGATGGCACACAGTTCTAGCTCGCTCCTCGCACCTCAGTGCCCGACTCGTCCGTTGCAGCCCCGTCGACCGACCCTTAGGTTTTGGTGTTTGACGCTAAAGGGGGAGAGGGATCGAGTATGATAGACTTAGGGGAAGCAACATTTAGGGGGAGCTTAGCTTATCTACATTTGGTTTTTTATGTGTGATACATTTTTATACATTCATGTCTACTATTATGCATTCAACTACATAAGTGTGATCGTAATCGTGATATTAATGTGATTGTGATATGTGACATGTGTGCTCTCTACTTGAATTACTTATATGTCATGTCACTTGGTTATGCTCATTTGTTTTGCTTCCGCGTTTTACTCTTATGCAAATGAGCTTTAATTCTTATCACATATCTATCGAGTACATCATGTTGGCTTGGGTTATATAAGCATGTCTAACTCATTTGTTCTTACTGTCAAAAGCTTATATGAACCAAGCATGTTGAAAACCTCATCTCTTTTACATACTCGAGGTTGTATTGTCATCAATCATCAAAAAATGGAGATTAAAAGCATCTAGGCCCCTAGTTGGGTTTTGGTGATTAATGACAATACAAGATTACTGTGACTTACGTGTGTTTTGTAGATGCAATTAAGTTAGGTCATGGTAATGGTAATTGATTGGTCAATCATGGTTGTCATGCCCATACGATGCAAATCATTTTGGTTTTTAAAGGATGGACGACGAGGTCAAGGATGGACTAGTTCTAAGTGTCGTTTGGTGTCGAGGAGACACTTAGAGTAGCTTAGAACTTTGTTTTTCCTTTGGCCGTACTATTAAAGGGGGTATAAATGGGTAGCTTAACCTAGGTGAGTCTTGTGGGTTAGGTGTGGTGCACACTTGTCAAATCTAGCATTAGGTAGCTCCTAAATAGCCCTTAGATCAATTGAAGCAAACTTCATTCACATATAATTATGAGTTTGAAGTGAATGGAGGATCAAATGTTAACCGGACGCTGACGACGTAGAGTCCTGTTAGTTCATTTGATCAAGGTGAAGTCATCTGGTTGCGACTGGATGCTGGAGAGAAAAGTGATCGGACGCTAAGAGCCAGCGTCCGGTCAACTCTAGTAAGGTTTTAGAGAGGGAAAATCGTGACCGGACGTGTCCGGTCAGTGCTGACCGGACGCTGTCCAGCGTCTGGTCACAACTTAAACACTCGGTGGTGGGGATAACTGACCGGAGCGTCCGGTCACTTTGACCAGAGAGTCCGGTCACCCCGCAGTGGCACATAACGGTTCGTTTTGAATGAGGGGTTATAAATACTTTCTCTATTCACTCAATGGATCACTTTTGCTTATTCCAACAGCTGAGAAACACCCTTGAGAGTGCCAAGAAGAGTAAGGTCCTAGTGAGGTGATTGAGATTTGAGAATTCAAAAGAGAGCCTTCAGTAGTGAAAGCAAGAGTAGCATAGTGTGCATTCACTCTTCTCATTAGGCTTGTCGTGGTCAAGTGAGAGTTCGTGCTTGTTACGTTTGGTAATCACCATCACATAGATGGCTTGGTGGTGATTGGGAGCTTAGTGGTCATCCGGCGAAGCTTGTGGATGTCCCAACTCAATTTGTGAGCGGTTGTGGGTGATTCACCGTGACGGAGTATCAAAGAATCAATCCATAGAGAGCACTTGATCCTTGAGCGGATCAAGGGGAGCTACACCCTTGCGTGGGTGCTCCAACAAGGACTAGTGGGGAGTGGCGACTCTCCGACACCTCGATAAAACATCACTGCGTTCATCTTTCTCTATTTACTTTAAGCATTTATTTTGAAGCAATTCAATTCTTGTCTTTACATTCATAAAATTGACATGCTAGAGTAGGATTGGAATATAGGTTTCTAAACTTTTGTATGGTAAAACTATAGAAACACTTTCTAGACACAAGGGGTGAAGTGGGCAAACCGTAGGGTTTAATTATTGCAAAGAATTTTAGAATTCACCCAATTCACCTCTCTCTTGGACATCTTGATCCTTTCACTCACCTAGCAATTCTAGCTTGCAAGATCACATAAACATATACAACTAGTACTTCAAGTAAGCGGGGAGCTTGAAAGATCTTTATTTGGTTTTGGCAATTGAGTGAGAACCTTAGGTGGATTAATATGTATTTGAGTGAGATAAACAGGTGATTAGTCTAGAGGTACATCATGTATGAGCAACCTTTGCCGTGGAGGTGAAATGGCTTGGAGATGTTGCAAAGGTCACACATGTGATGAATGAGCTCATTGTATATGAGACATGATATGGAGTTATGTGATTAAGGTGGAGAAGATCAAGACAAGACTTGACTCGATGTACCGGTTGCAAGTGTTAATGGCATGTTGAGTGACTACTTGACGCCGATGGACCGAGACAGCGATGAAGAGCAAGTGAAGTCAAGATCGATGAAACAATACGGTCACGTGATGATACAAAGTGGAACATATCATTTGGTGATTGGTTGGTACATATGTTACATCAATGATAGAGGAGATGGAATGGAATGCATAAGGCAAAGGTATAACCTAGGGTATTTTATTTCACCGGTCATAGGCGCGTAGAGAAGTTGATGACCGAATTTATGATAGATGACCGTACTATCAAGAGGAGCAAACTTTATCGATTATCTAGTGGCACTCGAGTGATCTAACTTTGCATCGTTGCTAGGATCGAGTGGCGTGATGAATTGAGTGACTAATCATTTGAAAAATATTTATGAAAAGGTAACACACGTGCAGAAGTTGTTGTACACTTAGTGGTGTTAGCACATATGTAAAGGAGAAAAAATTAAAGTTTTTTTAGATCAACTCGGTAAAGAAAAGAAGACAAAAAGAGGTTATTGAATGTGACCGGACGCTGATCTCGATAGGACCGGGTGCGTCCGGTAAATAGAAGAGGCGTAGTCTCGGTCAAACGACTGGACCCTAGTGCTGAGAGGTGACCGGTCAGGCGTGACGTACGCTAATATAGCGCTGGTGTTGTCCAGAGAGAACTAGACTCAGGGTGTCCAGAGAGGACCAGACTCAGAGTGACGTCCGGTCATCATCGACCTAAAGCCACCCTGAGTCCGGTCCTCTCTGGACAACACCACCGTGCTACGTCAGCAAACGTCACGTTTGACCAGACGCAGAAGCGTCACCTTCAATCGTTTGACTGAGATCATGTCTCTTCAAATCATGGAGTAATTGAGTTTAAAAGATTGATCTCATTGTAATTAGTTATTTTAAATATATATATTTAATACTACATGCTTCAAACATTATAGGATATAAATTTTTGAAGAGGAACTAAAGAAGCCTTCGCAGCTCGTTTGACTTGAGATATCTTCAAAATTCTAAGTTTTTTCACTTTTCGAATCATGTAATTTTTAGTTGTTTGTATTTAAATATAAATAATAATTGTATGCAGTTTAATTGAAAATCACGAGATGAATCTTTTGAACTTTGTTGGTCTATATAATTTTTTATCAAAGGAACTAAAAAAGCTACTATTTATCGGCAGCTTTTTTTCAATCTTGCAAGGGTGCGTGCGATTTATGCATCGGAAACAGCACAAACTCGCGTCTTCCCGAGAAAAATACAGCGGCACCGCACACATCCAGTATCGTCGAGCTTCGCATCGCACGCAGCTACTGTACTACTACTCGCCTACCTGCGCCTGTCCATATTTCCATCACGAGTAGTACTACCCCTACAAAAGATGGAGTACGGCTGTGTTTAGTTTAAGAAATTTGAATATTTAATTACGGTAGCACTTTTGTTTTACATTTGATAGTTAGAATTTAATTATGAACTAATTAGATTTAAAATGTTTGTCTCATAATTTTTAACCAAATTATATAATTAATTTATTTTTTCATCTATATTTAATACTTCATATACATATCACAAGATTCAATATAATAGCTACTGTAGCATTTTTTAGAAAAAAAATATTAGGATGGTTTTTGCAGTGCGAACCAACTGCGCCAATCGGCAACGTAGAATGGAGATTGATTACGGTAAGCGTCAATGGATCGCTATATCACCGAGTTAGAAAGAAAACTTACCTAGTCCTAGTATATTCCCCAGCAATACAACATGCTACTATCATTTGCGCCAATATGTTTCAAAATGATATATATATATATATATATATATGTAGTCGAATTCGCATCCATCTATATGTGTTGGGTGGAATTTAGTTTAACAACATCCCAACAAGACCATATGTTAGAATGGTTTGGTGTGAAAATAAACTCAATTTCATATCAAACACCAAATCACTCCAACACACATGAATTGGAAAGAATATATGAGCATCAAGCAAACCTATACCCATTACCTAGAGCTTTTCAATTTCACCCACCAGCATGCCATATACTTCCTCCGTTATAAATTATCTTACGTTTTGCATCTATACATACATAGCTTTAATTATGTATTAGACATAACTTATATGTGAAAGCAATAAATCTAGAAAAATCAAAACGTCTAATATTTGGAACGGAGGGATTACATTAATTACTACCTGACGACGCATCACAGCCAGTTACGAGATACGCCAAACACACCAGTCAGCACCGGCAAGGCAGCAGAAACGGAGGTGTCTCCTGGTCTCCGTGAGACCGTGACCGGGCAAAAGAACGTAACACGCACAGCACAGACCAACCAAGGCAACGACGCCATGCTGCTGCGGGTGGCGGTGCTGCCATGCCATGCACGCGTGCCTGCCTCTAGAAGCGGTGTAGAGGGTGGACCGGTCCGTGACTGGGCGTCGGCTGCTGGCCCCACAGACCTATCTCAGCCAGCTGCTCCGCGTGCTGGCCCACGTGGCCGCCGCCGCCGCCGTAGCCACCCAGTCCCGCCACGTCGCCCGCCACCTGCAGCTGCTGCTGCGAATGCGGATGCCTCCACTCCTCCCTTCCACCGCCGCCGTCCCCGTCCCCGTCCCCGTCCTCCGCGCCAGCAGCGGGCAGCCGGTGCACTTCGGCGGTCCTGAACACGGCGGCCACCACGACCACCCCGTCCGCCGCGGTCATCTCCCCAGCCAGGGTCCCGCCGATCACCTGCCCACCGACCCCAGCCAGCGACACCGAGAACGCCGGCGCGGGGCCGTGGCCGGCCCCGGGGTCGCACCACGACGGCAGCACGGTCCCGGACAGCGCCAGCACCTCGAACCGCCCGTGCAGCGTCACCGCGGAGGCCGACGCGGCCGCGGTGCCCGCCGCCAGGCGCAGCGTGACGGCGGCGACCGCGCCGCGGCCGCAGAGCACGGACACGCCCACGCGGCGGCGGCGGGCGAACGCCGCCACCTCGGACACCACGTCGCAGCCCGCCGCCAGCTCCAGCACCACAGGCCGCATCGCCGCCTCGCTCTCGCGCGTCACCACCACCGGCGGCTTCGGCTTGTTCTTCGACCCCAGCGGGCGCCCGCGCGGCTTCCGCGCCGTCACGGGTACCAGCGCCAGCGCCGGCGCCGGCTCCGGCTCCATCAGCCCGGCTCTGCCGGACGCCGCCTCGCCGGCCATGTCGGACCGATCGCCGGGGCTGCTTTCCTGCTGTACGAAACACACTCGTACAGTGGCAGTGGCAGAGTGGCTGCTGGTACGGTTGCGACAGTGAAATAGCTCCAGACTCTTACTAGGTCTCTACCAGGAGCAAGTGAGCTCAAGGTGAGTTTTATTTGTAGAGGGAGAGGGGGAGAAGACGAGGGGTCGAGGGGACGCGCAGCTGCACTGCATGATCTCCACCGTTGATTTTGCCCGTGCTCACGACTCTCGAGGGGTGCTGTCTGCTGAGACGACGTCCAATCCGACGCGTCCTCGGGCAGTTGCCCACTTGGCCCCGCTGCTCTGCCGCTTTTTGCCATGGGTCTCGGCTCTCGCTCGCGTCAAATCAGATTCAGGTTTGAGAGGTGCAGCGTCAGCATGCTGCATGCAGCCTTCGGCAGACGTTGCTAAACGTTGATCTGACTGATTACCGCGGCAAGGGCTAGATTCCAAGTTTTTTTCTCGCTCTCTCTCCGTTATATCAAATTTTTGAACACATACATAAAATATTAAATATAGATAAAAATATAATTAATTACACAGTTTAATTGTAAATTACGAGACGATTTTTTTGAGCCTAGTTAGGTCATGATTGGATAATAATTGTCAAATACAAACAAAAGTGCTACAGTATCGAATACTTATTCCTAACCGCGAACTAAGCAAGACCAAGATCGAAACGGTCGCACCTGCGTCAATTAGGCCCCATTTAGACCGAGGTTTAGGAATCAGTATTTGGCATTGCAATATTTTGGTTTGTATTTAATAATTATTGTTCAATCTTGACTTAATTAGGCTCAAAAGATTCGTCTCATAATTTACAGTCAAACTGTGTAATTAGTTTTTTTTTATCTATATTTAATACTCTATACATGTATCAAACATTTAATGTGATGGAGAAAAAGTGGCCTCACGTGGCTTCGACCCTCGCGCGTTGCTGCATTTTCTCGCCGAAAATGGGTTGCCTTCTTACCAGCTACTGCAGCAGCAGCCTGCAGCTGCATTTCTCTGAACTTGAACATTAGTTTTTAAATAGTGTTCCCGAATATTTTGATCACGCGCCCTAATTACAGGGAAATTCTGTAATGATGAATAGATGATGCATGATGGTTGATGGGAACTTGGGATGAAGCAGAAGGCGGCATGCTCCTGCTCCGCGCCGGATGCTGTCTCTCTGGGTGCTCCTGCTCCTGCTCCTGCTCCTTGCTCCTGCTGCCGACCGGTCACGCATAGTCCACTTCGCCTCGACGCGCAGTACGGGGTACGGCGCGGCGCAGCAGCCGCCTCTCATGTCTCGCCACCCGTTGGTGGCAAATATTGCAGGGTCAAAAGGCTGGAAATGTTGAGCAGCCGGTAGAGACGGGCAGACCTGGAAAGGCTGAGGCCGTAGTCTTCCTCGTGGCCTGCAGCTGCAGTATTCTCCGTCGTCTCTGCTTCTCTAGGCTACTGTCGCGCGTGCTCCGTCGCCGCAGAGGCCGCAGAGGCACTGAAGCAGCGAAGCCTGTGCGACCACTCCACCAGAGCATCTGTTCATAACTCGACCACTCAAGGGCACGTTTGCGTTTCGCGGGGCCCACGGATCAGCTTACATTTTGGATCTAGGAGGAGTTGTAGCTTCATTTTATAGATAAATAATTCTATGTTATTTTCGTGAAGTAATAATTATCAGAAAATAAACTAGAATGGAAAGTTAGTTTCTCCTATTTTACTTCTCTTCTACATCTAAAAGACTCTAAATTCACCATTTACCTGGTGATACCAAATTTTATCCCTGCTCATGTGTCCACGTCCAGTACAAATCATATGTGCACGTTCTACCGTGACCCGGTACGAAGACTGGAACCATGTGTCCGCATGACCGCATCCGATACAAAGTCTTCGGAGCTCATGCGTCCGTGTCTAACTACTGAGATTATAATTCAAAAAATTATGACCCCGGTGCAACACACGGACATATATCAAGTATAGTAAAAATCAACTTCTACTTATAGTTTATCTTAGAGAATCCAAAAAAAATAACATGTCGCTATAGAATCACTTATAGTCCTACCAAATATATTGTTTGTCACCAAGAATCAGGAGTAGGAAGAGCTCTGCTACCAAACAAGCTCTAAAAATTCAACCCTAGTGCTTAGCATAATGTGCCGAGCCGGAGCCGGTGAAACCAAGCTAGCTTTACTAGTTCCATGTGTTCTATAATTCATTTTAACTTAGAGAAATAAAAATAGCTCCGCGCCGCTAGAAACATTACTGCTACATTGTTTTGTGAGTAGAAGTTGGAACCTATCCGAGCACAAGATAGTGTTGATTGTCTTTTTCTTCAATTTTCGTTGTTTGCCAACTGTCATGATGCATGGCAGTTTGTTTCCCGAAGGATAGATCGCTTAAATCAAGTCCCCTACCATTATCCCTTGACCTAAGGGCATATAAGGGCGTCCCCAACGGCTGCCCATCTCGCTAGTGAGGAGGAGCACGTACCCAATCAGGAGGGGAGAGGAACAGAAAAGTTACCACGCTAAGGGCAAGTACAACGCGTCCCTTGAGCCTGTCTCTACGATGCTAATTTCGTAAAAAACACCTCGCCGATGCTAGGAGACGGGGTTCGCATCGTCTCGCGAGGCGACGGGGATGTCCCGTTGCCTGAGGCCGATACTCCTCCTCCAGCAGCGTTGTACGGGTCGGCGGCGTGCGGAGGTTCCAGTTTTGGCGCACGTTGAGAGAAATCTCGCGCCAAATCGTTACCCACCGGTGTCATCGCCTTCGCTCGCTCTGGTGTTGTAGCCCTCCGTCCTTCAATGGCTGCGCCGATGTCAACTTCCCGTTGGCGCGTTGAGATGCCGGGCGCCTCGAAGTCCACGTATCTAGGAAGAGCCTGATGCCTGCAGATTCGTCTCCTCCTCGCCCAGTGGCCGCAGAGTCCGGCCATGGAGCCGTCGCGGTGCTTCATGTTCGGCGCGTCTGTCGGGGGTCTCATGGGTCTTTGCCTCAGCGGCCGGCTCGTGTTATTTCTTCTTCTGCTGATTCCTAAGGGCAGCTGCCATCATCAAACTGCCAGCAAAAGCCGTTCATTCAGTTCCTGTCTGCAAGTTAGATGAGTGCCCGTATAGATGGATTGGATGATTATGTATTTATGTTGAAGGATTATCTTTGCTTCATCTAGCATGCCGCGTTCAGGACCTGGTCATGGTTCTATTCATGTTCTGAAGTTAGCTACCTGAACGCGGATGGTGGCCGTGATGGGTTATCTGAATGCTTCTATGTTCTAAATCTGTTACCTGATGAGCTATCTACTTCCAGTTAAATATGTGACCTATACTGCTATATCCGTTCTCCCCTTCTATTAGTAGAAAAATGGTACCCTTTGAAAACCATTGTTATATGGTGGTACTTAGTTTATCTACTCTCTGTTATATGAGGAAACTTGTATCTGAATGGTTATTCAGTGATAGCATTTCTGAAATTTTCTGAAACCACTGTTATTCAGTGATAGCATTTCTGAAAACTTGATTATGTTGCATGTTTAGTTTCCAGTATCTGTCACCTATCCAGCGTCTGTTACCTATTGAGTTAGCATTTCTGTTTAGTTATATGAAAGAATAAAAAACTATTATATGAATTATCTGAATGTATAGCTATTTGCATGTTATCTGAATGTAAACGGTTATCTGCATGTTATCTGAACGTACAGCTATCTGCGTGACTGCATGTTAAGTTTCTAGCTATCTTTTATTAAGAAAGAATAAAAAATGTTATCTGAATTTTCCATGTATTTGTTAAGTTTATGTACTATTAAATAGATACGGCAACACAATAGTATATAAATTGATATTTATAACTGATCTTGACTGTGTACAAAGTATTAAACTACTTGAAGACGACCTCCTTTACTTGGCTTGTACGAGTTGTCTTTTTAATTGTCTGTATATTAGATTTTGGGACGACCCATGTCTGGCTGGCTCGTACATGCCCTAAGGTAACAAGCGCTCAGCTCTCACGCTTTCAAGAATTTTCAAGTCTCTGACATATCGTACCACCATCTGACTTTTCATTTTTAATTGTTTTTAGGCTCATCATCAGCCGGAGATTTGCAAAGACTGTTGGGGACGGCCTAAGAGAGGGCGAGGGGGTTGATCCTAATTCTATTCTCACGAACATCCACCCATTTCTTATTGGGCGAACGATCCAACAGCATGCACTCGTACGGCCCAAGCACGCTCCTAGATTGCTGTGCATCTTGACGTCACTTAAGAAAACCAAAACGTTTATTTTAAAATGTTATAACTTCTAAACGTTATATCCATTTTCAATTCATCTGCACAAGTGTGTTATACACGATGAGACGAACAAAATTAGACCTCACTTGAATATATTTTGAAGATTTTTTCTACTAGAAATTTATATATTGATTGCTTCTGATGGGTTTCAACTCTAGCCTACCCAACTTGTTTGTGACTTAAAGACTTTGTTGTTGTTGTTGTTGTTGTTGTTGTAGGAATTTATATATATTAACTTATACAATATAACTTATAACTTGCAACTTATGCACATAAGTTGTATTGAATAACTTATTTACATAAGTTGTATAGAATAACTTATGTACACAAGTGTGTTTGATAACTTTTGTATATAAGTTGTTTTCATAACTTTTATGTTTCTAAGTTTTGGTATAAGTTATAAGTTAATTTGTTTCTTTTTTGTGTTATTAACTTTTGTGTTTGCATGTTTTGGCATAAGTTACAAGTTAATTCGTTTCTCTTGTGTTTAATAACATATGTAAATAAGTAGTGTTTCATAACTCTTGAGTTTTAAAGTTTTTCGCATAAGTTATATGTTATAAGTTACATGTTATAAGTTATACTTATATGTTATATGTTATAAGAAAATACACATAAAATTATTACTAAAATAAAATTATTTGAACTATATGCAAGTAGGGATCTAGTTTTGTTCGTCTCGTCATGTAGAATACACTGGTGTAG